AAATGCAAGATGCATTTTGACGGGCGCAAGTGCAAGCTGCTGCTCACCTCCGTGCACGAGAACGACAGCGGGATCTACACCTGCAAGCTCAGCACTGCCAAAGGTAAGCGGCGGTCACGCAGCTCCCTGGGCGGGGTATCGCTCAGGGCTTGGCCTTAAGGGGTTGCTAAGGGTGGGCAGTCCCTCCTGCTCCTGGGGTCAGGGCTGTGGTCCCCCTGGCATGTAGCTGTGAGTGCTGAAAGTGGGGGCCAAGGGAGGCAGGGGTTGCCCTAGGAGCTGGGGAGCTTTCACCTCTGGGAAACCTGGTCTGCACCAGCCCTTGGGCTGCAGCACCCTGAGCCCTGCCCCACTCAGCTCTTCTGCCAGCATGCTTGCAGCTCCCTGAAACATGGGGAGACACATTTGCACTGTGGCTGCACCAGCTGGATGCAGCCCTGGAGCCCAGCTGTCCCTGTCTCCTGTCTCCAGAGCCTCCAGGCACCCAGCTCCAGTACTGGCCTGTCTGTGTTGGCCTGAGAGGTGGCAGGGACAATGGGCAGGGGGTCAGGACTGCCCACCTTCTCAAGCTATCACTGGTGGCAGCTGAGGAAGATCATCAGGACCTGGCCTCTGTCCCATGGCTCCAACATCCCCTGTGCCTGTGCATGCTGCCCACAGCCTCTGTTCCCCACAGGGGGGCAGGGACAAGGGCCTTTTCCCATTCTCCAGCTGGCCTGGGCAGCCCCTTGGCAGTGACCGAGGCTGCAATGGGTGCATTCCCAGCACCCTGCAGCTGGTGCCAGTGCATTCCTCCATGGAAGGGGCTGTATGCCTGCAGGGATTTGAGGGCAGCAGCAGTTTTGGGTGCAGGGAGGTGAGGCTGTGCCTGAGCATGGTGTCAGTCCCTGCCCAGGGTGGGCAATGACACCATCATTGCAAAGCAGTCCCTCACTGGAGCATCCAGTCCCCACACTGCCCCTGTGCCCCACACTGCTGGCACTGCCTGCTTCAGCATCACCTTGCTGTCCCCATGGGGTTAGGCCAGCTGTGACCTCCTGCCCTATGGGGAGCACAAGGCACCCTCCCACCCCACCTTGCTGCTGGCATCTGTACTGCTGTGCGGGTGGCAAAGAGGCACCCTCCTGCCAGCAGAGCCCTGTGCATGGGGACCTTGCACACACTTGTACTCCTCCTACCCCATGTGGGGACTGCCCCTGGCACCCAGCACACCCGGGATCAGACCCCACTGGGCATGGGGTACACTCAGCTACAACCGCACTGTCTGCTGGTTCTGCAGCAGGAGGGTCTCAGCTGCCTCCTGCCCTGCACACATGCATGCTGCGTGGGGCTCACCCCTGCCTGCTCTCCTTGCAGATGAGCTGACCTGCAGCGCCCGGCTGACAGTGCAGCCCTCTGTGCAGCCACTCTTCACCCGCAAACTGGAGGATGTGGATGTGGTGGAAGGGCGGACAGCACGGTTTGACTGCATGATCAGCGGGACTCCCACCCCGACGGTCACCTGGACCCATTTTGGTAATCCCCAACCCCAGAGAGCTTGCCAAGGGCCCTGCAGCGAGACCTCTCCACATCTCCTTGGGGGCTGCACCCAAGGGCTGGCAACCAGCTGGGGCTGGGAGAGGTGCTGGTGCTGATGCTGATGCTGGTGTCTGTCTACATGCAGGCCAGACAGTGCAGGAGGGGGAGAATGTGCGGATTC